TATAAATTAGCCATTTGTTAGGGGTTTTTTTTGTGTAGCACAAAAGCTTTAACATGGACATAGGTTTGAATTTTAGGTATGTCTTCCTAGCTGTAGTACTTTAGGTAGATTTCTTACTCTCTTTAAGCTGCAGTTTGTTCATCATAAAAAGGGAATAATAAACCTACTTTAAAGGATGATTATTCACCATTGTACACTCAGGGTCTAAAAATGCCTGGCACATAATAAGCAGTTAGTAAAAATATTTGAACAAATAAACATATGAATGTTGTGAGGATGAAATGAAACTTATATAAAACACCCAGTACAGGTGTGGCACATAGCAAGGACTCAAAATTGTAGCTAAAATGTGGATTTTTTTTTTCAGGCTATTTCACTGAATAAGGCTCAAGTTTTCATTTTCACTTTAAGAACTACATAATCCATGAAAATGAAGAACCAATTACAGAATGTAGGACTTTAATAAAAATAGTAAGCATTAACTATTTCATAGAATTTTGAGATGGAATGGACCTTAGTCCTCTAGGCGAGTCTTTTATCAATAAAGAAACAAAGATACAGGGGACTTGAATAACTTTACCAAAGATTGCATTAACTTACTTAATTAAGTCGTCTTCTCAGCCAAACACTGTTTCCACAATCCTGTACTTATGTTATTTCATATCTGGATCCCAATCAGCAGACTGTAATAAAATCTATTTTTATTGTTAGCATCTTGTTCAGTTTGATCTAAAGCCTTTCCGATCTTTTAACTCCTGATTCTGTCATCCATACTATCTGTACGCTAATCAGATTTGTAGATAACATGACTTTTAAGATTATTATTTAAGTCATTAACACAACTAGACTAGATAGAAGACAGAGCCCACCAGAAACCTTCCCTTAACAGCGCCTCCATAGGATTGACTCTTTAGGTAAATTTACAAATCAAGTCTGATTGTTAAACAAAAGCTACATTTTTAAACTGTAAAGTCTTTTAATATAGCCTTTAAATTTTTCACTGAGAGTTCTAATAACTTTCCAAATAATAGGAATGAATCGCATGCTTCCAATGAGAGAACGTTCCAAAACAGAGGAAGACATTCTCCGAGCAGCACTTAAGTATAGCAGCAAGAAGACTGGAAGTAATCCTACATCAGCCTCTGATGATTCCAATGGGCTGGAGTGGGAGAATGATTTTGTTAGTGCTGAGATGGATGATAACGGCAATTCCGAGTATTCTGGATTTGTGAATCCTGTATTAGAACTGTCTGATTCCAGCATAAAGCAATCTGATGCAGATCAACAGAAACGATAGGGTAAAATTGTATGACCCTGTTTTATCAGTTGTGACCAAATGTTAAAAACCAACTAGAATGTATAAATAGTTGTGCTGAGCCTTTTTTTAAGAGGGAGATAAGAAACCATGTTGTAAATGCTTATTAGAAAAGAATAGAAATGATAGGCTATATCTGAGTTGCTTCAGAATTAAGTGCAATTTCATCATCTGCCTTCTGCTTTTCAAAAACAATTTAATGGTTCTATCATGTTATCAGTTAAATTTATTTTAACTCTTCTTTATAGCATTCCTGTTTACTATTTGTAGATTTTCACTTTTAAAAATAGTTTGTTTACTTTGAATGCTTTCTTAAGCCTATTTCAGTAGTTAACTGTGAAAATAGTAAGGCATTTTGTGTTAATTCTCAGCAGATGTGAAGGGAGCAGGAGGAGGGACTGCCAGATCAGATTTATAATAGTGTTCCCTTTTCCACCTTTTCCAACATTATTTGTTCCTATAACTTACTTAAATTTTATTATCTAATAGTAAGCACAATTGAGTAGATGACCCTAAAGAAATGCTGAAATATCAGTTTTTTTCTACACTTACTGCATATCCTAGTATAATAATGTTGATTCAGTCGGAACAAAGGATATGTTAAAATAGACTTTCAGAGTTCAGATACTTGAAGCTGGTAATCAAAAGTAATATTTAAGAAAATATACATATTTAGGTTTTTCACTTCCTTTTACATGCAGCCACTATAGATGAATATTGATTTTAAGTTAATTGATAAATTTCTAGATGTCATTTTTTTAAATTCTATATTTCCAATGAATGGTCTTAGAAAGATTTTACACAGAACATACTCTCTGTGCATGATTTAGTAAGAAAGGAAAACCTAAATATGCAATACGGGTATTTCAAAATAAAATCCTTTCTGGTGTGAAAGGATTCATTGATTTTATTAAGCTTTCCTTTGCCTTGTAATACAAGGTGCTTTAATAGGATGGAACTAAGCATATCAGTATAAATAACTGCATTTGTGATATACAATGAACTCTTCTTTTCCTAAAGTTTATGTTTCACTTTGAAAGGCCAAGGTTATAAAGCACTCCCTAATTGCTTGTCTTAATTTTGCTGAGGATTGAATATGATTTTGGTAAGCAAACTGTTTTCTGATTTTTCCTTGGTTTTTTTTTTCTTTTTTTCTTGCAGCAGTGACAGTGCATGTTCTCAAAAATATAGGAAGGTCCAGATATAAATAGTAACTTAAAGTTCTTGCTGTACTTAAAAAAAAAAAATCATGTGGCCCTTTCAATATTTGAACTGCTAGGCAATGACATCAATAGTTTCATCTTTTTTTATCGCATAGAAATAAATATGATACTTTAAATATGTAAATATATTAGGTATGCTATTATTTATGACTGTCTTAACATAATTTAAGTTGTAGCTTTGTCACTGGAAATATTTTAAAGGTAATCTATATTCACATTGCCTGTGTTATGCCTTTTAAAGTTTGTATACATCAGATGTATATTTTTGGTTTGGCATAAGCTACTATTGTAATTTTTCTTGGCATTTTGTTCATAAAAAATTTTTTGAAGGAATGATAACCTCAAGGATTATGAATAAACACATTTTTACATTTAAAAATAATAAATTATTTGATCATTACTAGTTTTACTCTATAAACATGCAATAATTCTGACTCCTGAGGTATAATTACTTTATTAAATCTGCCTTGAAGACAAAAAGGAGTGAATTAGGAAAGCAGGATGGAACTAAATTTGAAAATGTTTGTGTTTTAACTGCTAAGAAAAGATATTAATTTCTTGTTTTGTATGTTTATAAAAAACACTGGAAATAACTTTTTTTATTCAGCAGATATTAGAGAATCTATTGTGTCTGATACGGTGTTAGGGACATAGTAAAAAGACATACAGTGCTCAAGCTCTTTTGCCTACATTCTGATGAGAGAGACAAGATAATAACGAGTAAACATATAAATAAGAAAACCACAGATCACAATTAGAAAATATTTAAGATGATAGAATACAGGATAGCTGGGGACTAAGTGACTACTTTGGTAGGTCAAGAGAGCCTTCTCTGAGATGACATTTGAGCTGAGACCTAACTGTTGAGCAGGAACCAACCAAGTAAAAAGCCTGGTGAAGCATGTTTATAAAGTTCCTGAGGTATAGGAGAACATTTGGTATGTTCTGAGAATGAAAAGACCACGGGGACTGAAGCATCATGAGGTAGAGTAATATGAGATGATACTGGAGGGGTATTTAAGGGCCAGATCATGTAAGGTTTTGTAGACCATGGTTAAGAGTTAATTTTATTTGGTGTATAAAGCCACTGACTTTCTGTAAGCCAGAGTAGACAGTGATCAGATTTGCATCTTTTTAAAAATTTCTCTAGTTGCTATGTAGAGAATGGCTTATAAGAGGACAAGAGTGTATGTGTGATACTTGCAATGGGACATGGTGTGACTTGGGTTGATGATGATGATAGGAATGCAGAGCTGATAAACTTCAGATGTAGAATTAACAAGATTTTCTGATGGGTTAGATATGGAGGCAAAAGAAGAGCTAGAATCTAAGACAATGGTAGGATAATGCATCTAGCATGGTGCCCTGGCAACCTTGCTCACTGCACATCTATATAGCAACACTGAACCACACTCCAACCCAAATCTTGACAAAGCTCTGTGAACCTCCCTGGAACATGGCAAGATAGGCAGTCTTCAAGGAGATGTGACAAAGCCATTTATCATCTGCTCCCCTATCTTGCAGAAGGCTGCCATAAGGCAATTTCTCATCTAACTCCCTGGTTCTAATGAAGCAGGGATTTCTACCTCACTCCCATTCACTACAGATGTAGGCTAATAAAACTGCTTGGCTAGAGTTTGGAGTTGGCTCTTCAACAACAGAGCTGCCCTCCATTTATCTGGCCTCCCTGGTCCAATGTCCAAGGGACATCCCTAGGGACCAGGGATGTGGAACACTGACCCCATGCTGATCTTGCTTTTGCTGTCTGTGTAAGTAATAAACTAAGTCTATTTGAGCTCATTGTTTCCCCGCCGGTTAAATCTATGGAAATGGACAGCCAACCTAGCAGTTACAACTACACTTGACAATAACTTTTTGGTTTCTAACTTGACAAATATAGTGGGAGGAACAGATTTAAGAAGGTGAAGGAAATTAAGAGTTCTGTTTTGGAAGTTAAATTTGAGGTGTTTATGAGAAATTTATGGGAAGACATCAAGAAGATGATAATATATATATATATATCTGTAGTTCAGAGAAGAGGTCGAGGTACAAGTTTAGAAGTCATTAGTAGGTAAAAGGTATTTTAAGTCCTTATACTAGGTAAGATCACCCTGGGGAAGCCCAACTAAGTGTTGATATTTAAAGGTCAGGGGTAGAGAAACTGCCAAAAGAAGCAGATTTAAGAGGGACACAGGAAATCAAAGAATGTGGTATCACAGGAACTACTGGTGGCCATGTGCCACCACGCAGAGTGAGGAACTTGGAGAATTGGAGCCAATATGCATTGAGGGGCAGGGCTAGAGGAATCTTAATCTCCTGCCCAGCCTCTCCCTCAGGCTTATGGCACTCCTCCTTTAGAGTAAGCAGTCTACTGATCAGCACGGGAGAGTAAGCAGTCTAAGAACTTTCTTTTCCTCAGAAAGTTCTTTCTTCAGAAAGAGTCTCAAAGAACATGGTTACAGAATTAAACTTTGACTTTATTATATGCATGGAAGCTGTTAAAATTTTGAATTCATGGAGTTTAAAAATGTGTGGTATATAAAAGTTAATATTTGGTAAGAAAACTGAAAAAGAATTCTAAACATAGCAATGGTTCATTAAAATGTCCAAAATACTGGTTTTAAATGCTAAATATACACAAGGAGAACTGTATTTTTGGAAATAAACACTATTATTCTACAGAAAGGAAATCATAGAAAAGGTATTATTGCTCAAATAGGGCTTCCTATATAAAAACCACAATGCTGCATTGGCACTATTCCAAAACACATTATGTTAGTACTCTAGTACTGCAAGTACCAACAGGCTACACCACCAGTAACAAGCTGCTCATAACCTTGACCTTGAAAACAAATGGCTGCTTGTGAAATATGACCAAACCAAGCGATGGTTCCTTACAAAACAAAACATAGGACTAAAAGCAAGCCTAAGAAGAAAATAATACATCCTTATTGAGAACACTATTCCTTCATCACCACGGGTACTTCTTGTACATTAACCCTCACAGATGTACACTTAATTCTTAATAATACACTTAATAATTCCTAAATACATCTAGGAATGCAACAGATGACTAAATTGATGACTAATACAATTTAAAGACTTTCAAAATGATAATAAGAGATCCCAAATTTGACAACAGATGACAGTAATACACCAATAAACCGAAGTATCCATAAAATGTCTACAGATTTCTTCATCCTTCATGACTCCTCTTAGCCCCTCTGTGTTCACAGTTCATTCTCATCCATTTCTGTAGGAGAAGTGTTTTGGGTGCAACAGGATGAGTAACTGCCATCCTCAGGTATGGGCTTCTGTAGTGGCCAGTTGTTTTCTTGCAAGAGTGATCTTGGTGACAAAATAAATTGAGTCTCAAAAATTTCTAAGGACTCTCCATCTTCCTTCTCCATCAGGAACTGATACTCACCAAATCTGACCATGCACTTATAAGGCAGGTCTGTTTTATTTAGGTAGCCCAGCTCCTTGTTGTCCACAAGGAGACTGGTCTTCTTACTCATATTTTTTATTTCAAAAGAGAGAACTGAACTATCAAACTTTTTAAACAGCTGCAGAGAAAACTGAACTCGGGAAACCTGTTTATCCTGAAAGGTATAATGACAGATGTTGGAATTTCGGCCAAATTTCACCACTTCACTGGAGCAAAGTTTTTCTCGGTTATAAAACCTTATTGATTGGAATATTCCACTTTGCAGCTGGCCAGGATGGTAAACAGTTATCTGGAGACAAGTCACGGTCTCTTCCGTATCAGCATCTTCAAAACTGCTCATGATGTGTCTCAGAATCTGACCTGCCTGCAACAATCAAACCAGCATGTTAGTTCACTCCCATTTTTCAGGCATTGAAATCTTTAATTCTAATATTTTGATGAAAATTTCTGATAGGTGATTTATTTAGACTTTAAGACGACAATACACAGAATACTCAATTAACTAGCACATATGTGAAATTTTACAGCAAGTCCCATGAGATCTGGTGTATTACTTTTTTCCATCTCTATTTTTCACTTCTAGTTTGACAATAAAACCATATACACAATCTAGACAATAACAAGGAACACTTGTCGATAATAAAGTGATCTGGCAGGGGTGTAAAGAAACTTCAGTTCCTTTCTCATTTAAATAGAGTGACTTGGCCCAGAGAAAATATGACAGCTATATTTTAGAAATCAGGATAAATAATCCCCTTGGTTTGAATGCTCTCAGAGGATATACACATAAAGAAAACCTACAGTTTATTAACTAAATTATAATTAGATGTATTATGAATTGTAAAACCTGATTAAAGAAATTTAAAAATTATAAACAAATAATTGCAACATTTATTCTTTACATCCTCACTTAGATTTCTAGTAGGTAAAGGGTTAAATATAATAAATGCTTAGCTACGATAGGGAAGCAAGCTAAGTGTCCATTGATAGATGAACAGGTAAAGATGTGATACACACACACACACACACACACACACACACGAATATTATGCAGCCATAAAAAGGAACGAGATTGCGCCATTTGTAATCTAGGATGAACCTAGAAGGTATTATGCTAAATGAAATTAAGTCATACTGAGAAAGACAAATACCATATGATTATACTCATTTGTGGAATCTAAAAACAAATGAATAGACAAAAAGCAGAACATGACCTGCAAATACAGAGAACAAACTGATGATTGCCAGAGGGGAGAGTGGGTGTTGGGCAAAATGCGTGAAGGGGAGTGGGAGATACAGGCTTCCAGTTACAAAATGAGTAAATCATAGGAATAAAAGGCACAGCATAGGCAATACAGTCAATGATACTGTAATAGTATTGTATTGTGACAGATGGTGGCTACACTTGTGGTGAGCATAAGTATAGAGAAGTTGAATCACTGTTGTATACCTGAAACTAATGTAACATTGTACATCAACTATACTAAAAAAAAATAGTGCTTTAAAAGTTTTATACCTGTAAAATTAGACATTACATAAGTCAGTCCTAATTATCATAGTCTGTACTCCTACTGGAATTATTTATCAATTGTTCCTAATGACTGAACAAACTGTCATTAAGCACATTCTGTCATTAAGAGTTAATAGCATCCCTCTAGAGCTCTGGGCCCTGTGGTGCCCTCCACCTACACGTGCCTACATGCACCTTTAATAATCAGTGGAGTAAAGTAGTATAACAGGATAGGAGAATTAATTACCAAAGTCTTGGAGAGATTATTCTGACACAGAACTGCCATTTTAAAACTAATTTATTTTAAAAGAATTAAGTGCACACAATTTAAAATTTGATACAGCAAAAAATGATTTTTAAAAAAAGTATCTTCACCCTAATCCTTCTAGAGTCAACCACTGTAAAAGTTGCTTTTATCCTTACAGAAATTTTCTTTATACAAAAAGCATAACTATGTGTGTGCTCATAGACACAAACACCTGTTTCTACACATAGAGAAAAATTTTTCTTATACAAACAGGAACATATTATATTTAATTCTAGGCCTTGCATTCTTAAATTAATAATACAAATGGGTGATTTGTTTCCATATCCACACATATACATATACCTTATATTTGAAAGGCTACACAGAATTCCTTTAATCTAGCATGGTGATAAATTATACCAATAAAGTGAGGCTGAGTGTTCCCTGCATTCCTTAAAAACTGTTTAGGGTTTGGAAATCAAGAATCTTAAGTGAAATTGATTTGTGGTTTTTGTTTGCCATCTATATTAGATGTTGGTATCAGAATTATTATGCTGATTTAAAAAAAAATCAGAATGCTTTCTTTTTCTTTCTACACTTGCTGCTATTTATTTTTAAAATACAATCTTTCCTCCTGTTTTGCAGTTATGGTGCTATTTTTTCCTTTTATTAAATTCTTTATTTAAATTCAATTTAGTTAACATATACTGTATTATTAGTTTCAAGGATAGAATTTAGTGATTCATCATTTCATATAACACCCGGTGCTCACTTATATCAAGTGCCCTCCTTAATGCCTATCACCTAATTATCCCTTTCCCCCACCCACCTCCCCTCCAGCAACCCTCAGTTTGTTTCCTAGAATTCAGCGTTTCTTATGCCTCTCTTATTTTTGCCTCCCTATTTTCATCTGATTTTATTTTTCCTTCCCTTCCCCTATGTTCATCTGTTTTGCTTCTTAAATTCCACATATGAATGAGTGCTAAAAATCAAACTCTCAATTTATTCAATTTTTCAATAAATGATATGGCTAAGCAAAATTTCTTTTTTATTGATTTGGAAATATATCTTTAATTTTAAAATTACTTGTCATATATTGTTTTTGGACATTATTACATCATATCACATTACCCAAGCAGACAGGACATGCCCAGCTATAAGCAGCAAAGTGAGAGGAACCCTCAAAATCATGGGCCAAGGATGGTCAAAATTACTATGAAACCAACACAGCGAGAATTAACACACAATGGGTAGAATTGTGATTTGAAAACACCTTAATTATAATAAAGTCACATTATTCAAGAAGCTGACAGCATTAAAGAGAATAATTATAACAAATCATCAGATGATACAATTAGTGGTTGACAAGAAAAGAATTAGCTGTTAACAAGTAAAGAACCTAAAAAGGAGGGGCAAGAATCTGTCAGTGATCTCAGCCTTGTCTAGGATACACTGCCATCATTCTAGTTCATTCTTGGACTTTGTACAATAACAGTTCCAAAAGGAGAACTGGATTAAAAACATGGTGTATTCTGGATACAGTCTTTTGGTAACACCCAAATTTTGTTTTGTGTTCTTCCTATAACCAATTAGTTTAAAATTCATTCTTTTGAGCAAATCTACCACCAAGAAAAGTTTGCCCCACACAAGCTCTTATGCCTAATTCTCAGGGTAGATATTCACTGCAAGGGGAAAAAATAGGCATTCTTGTTTATCAATCAGTGGCTACAAGTGTCTTGGTGTGAATCAACTCTCAGGGTTTGACAAACTTTTGGGATCATAATTGTGACTCTCCAAAAACACTGAGGTTGACTGTACTACTGTCAAATATTTACTGCCCCTCCCTACGAGGAGCCTTGCTCCTTTAGAGAGATGATACTTCTTACTGTATCATGACAACCATGTCAATGAAACATGAATGGAAGCGACGTAGAAGCTTATTTCCAAGCAGAAGCTTTGAAAGCCACCATGTACTTCCACCAATCCTCTTGGCCTCTGCCACATCAGCAGTCCCCAAAAGCAGCTCAGCCTCCATCCCAGAGGGAAGGGCCAAAGACAGAGTCAAAAAGGACATGTAATATGAGCAATAAATCAAACGTTTTTTTAAGTCATTTGTTCCTGAGCCCTAACATATCCTGGGCTGACATGCATCCACCTATCCAACCAAGGTACGAAATGACCTCAAACCCTGACAGTTAACAGGGTTACTACTTAACTGTACGCCCTTCACGTGCCAGGTACAGTGCTAGCCATTTACACATATTGTCTCATCTTCAGAATAACCCTATGAATCATCCTTCACAGAGGAGAGAGATATGTCTCAGAGGGTTTAGCTAAGTAGCCCAGGTCACAAAGCCAGTATCAAAGGCAGGATTCAAACAGAAAAAAAATACATACCCACAACAAAAACTGCTCTCTGTTGCCAGTTACTCCACAAGAGATAGCAGTTAATCTGTAGAGAGGAGGGCCATGGAAGTGTACTAAAACCAGCAAGACACCAACCTAGAATCTAGTGTTGGGACAGGAAATACACTGTTACTCCTGCCTCATAAGAGAAAGAGGCTCTGAAGCAGCAGGTTACTGTGAGTATAAGTTATCCCTAAGTCTGCATGTATGGATGGATATTAGCATGGACCCAGTACTCACTAGTAATTGTGGTAGGTTGTTTGGGGAGCTCCAAAGTTGAATAAATCATGGTCTCTGATCTCAAGGAACTGAGAAAGTAATCTATTTGTTAATTTCTAGAGCTGCAAGTTCTCTCTACAAAGTGGCCTGAATCTCTGCCATTTCTGAGTGGTCAGTAGAAAGACAGCAAAGACTGAAACTAATAAAAACCCTAAAATGAACTAAAATTGGTAGGTTTTTTTTTAAAGATTTTATTTATTTGAGAGAGAGAGAACGAGTGAGAGAGAGAGCACGAGCAGGGGAAGGGGCAGGAGAAAGAGAAGCAGTCGCCCTGCTGAGCAGGGAGCCCAATGTGGGACTTGATCCCACGACCCCGGGATCATGACCTGAGGGGAAGGCAGATGCTTAAACTGCTTAACCGACTGAGCCACCCAGGTGCCCTGGAAGATCTTTAAAATAAAAAAAATAAAAATAAAAAAATCACTAGTGTGCAAATGCTCAAAAGCAGCTTTTTGAAATGTCTGACATAAGTTATCAAAGATAGAAGAACAATGAGCTTATATAGTAGTAACAGTGGTTACCTCTGGAGAGGGAACCTGGGGTCAGGGGTGGAAAGGAGACTTTTCATTGCACATTCTATACCTTCGAAATTGTATACCATGTGTACTTAATATCTAATCAAACACTTAACAAATATTTTCTTTACAAAATTACAAATCATCTGATTTTTATGGAATTAAATGGAGGTGGAGATTAGCTAAGTATGAAAGGGGTAAACTATGATATCTGACATAAAAAAACTGTAAAACATGGTTCGCCTGGCTGGCTCACTCAGTACAGCATGCAACTCCTGATCTCAGGGTCGGGAGTTCTAGCTCCACGATGGGTATAGAGCTTACTTAAAGAAAAAGTTGTAAAACACTGTGGTGATATCTGATACACAATAATATCTATATTCACAAATGAACTACAATAAATAAATATATAGAAATGAAAATGAGCAAATGAGCCCTGTTATCAAGAACTTTATCACAGAAAGCTAATACAAAAGGTGAGTGCTCCATTCTTGAGTGTCAGAAGAAGAGTAAACCTCTCCTTTGCTGGACACCAGGAAGTAAGTACACACTTACCTGGGAGTCTTAGAGCTGGCAAGAGAAAGGTTAGACTCTGAGGTTGCCTTCTAACTCCTCTCAAAGGAAATAAGGTGCTATGTGCAAAATTATGCTCTCTACGCCTGCTCACACTCCCACCCCCCCCCCAGACACATACACCAGTTACCCCTCCCAAAGTTGGGCAAAGCCAGTAAAGAGACCTACTACCCTGACCCTGCAAAAAGGCTGTTTGGACCTCAACTGTCATGAACAAAAAGACGGATATTTTTGCTCAAAGGAGGAGCCAGGTGTCCAAGCAGTTTAACAGAAAGTTTGGTGCCCCTGGGTGGTCATGCATGCCAAGAGCATTCTCATGCTAAGATCTACTGAAATAATGGAGCTTGTTCTGGGCCTTGTGTTAAGGAAGGTATTCTGAAGGTTTACTTTCATCCCTCCTCAGCTCCCACCCTATGGATAATCTCAAGAGAAAGTATGTCTTTGCCTTGTTCCAAGTAGCCTTTTTTCAAAGGCTTTCTCCCTGACCAACACCCAACACTGAGCTAACAGGAGGGAAGAGAAACGTGAAGCATAGCAAAAGACAGGGTTATCCTCCTGACTAACGTCCCTCGCCGGTCATCAGCCCCAGTGTGGCTTCGAAGACACCTGTGAACTCTACTACTGGTCAGCAGAATCAATTCTTAAATAATAGGTTTCGCAGAAGGAGTCGTGAAAACCAAAAAGAGCAAGAGGAGAACCTTAAGAGAGCTCACTTTTTCTTCAGAGACAGTGTCTTCTTTCTCCCACTCTACCTGATTAACCTGTACCCAATCTGATCCGCAGAGCCCAGCTTCTTGGCGGCTGCGGACATCCGCTGTGAGGTAGAGCGTGGGTTCCGGCTTCCGGAGGATTTGGGAAATTCTTCTTTTCAATCTGAAAGCTGGGGAAAGTCCCAGAAAACAGCAGATTACTGTATTTTCCCAATATATATAATTTTCCTGAGGCAAGGAGGGCAGGTCCGGAGAGCCCTCAGTAGAGAAGGGAGCCCGAGGCCCCGCAGAAAAGTCTCCTGGGGGACGCCGAGGGGGTTCACGCCCAATTGCTCTGTGAGCTACCCTTGATAAATGGAATTCTTTTGTGTTCTCTGATTAGGAGAAAAAAAAACAAAAACAAAAAACTGCAAAGCACGGAAAATTATAAAGAAAACACACCCTTCTCTGGTATTTCCTTTCAGTATTCCCCCCTCGCATTTATAAATATTCCTCAGGTTTATAAAGTTGGGGCCGTGCCGTATCTAATTGTTGGCGCGCTCCGTGCGCTGAGCCGGCAGGAGCAGTTGGGCGTGACTTTGTACAAGAGCACCGCGAAGGACTCCGTGACAAAGCCCCCCTCTCGGGGCGATAAACAAACAAGACACACTCCCCACTTCAGCCCCAGCCCGCCGCCCGCCAGGTACCTTAGGGCCGGGGAGTCGGTGAACTAACTTCCCAGAGCGGCTTCGCTTTCCGGGCTCCACACGAGACGAATGGAGGCCACCCCGCGGAGGCTGGCGGAGGCGGACGGTCACCGCCCACCGCCGCCCAGCGCCCTCAACCACACTAGAAAGCGCCAGCCCGCCCCGCCGCAGCTCCTGGGGGAGGGAGAGGGCGGGTGTGAGCCAAGGGGGGCGGGGCCGAGTTGGGGGTGGAGGGGGGACAGACGCGACCGAACCCGGGGAGTGGGCGGCTGCGGGTCACTGGCCCCCCCCGGCGCGCGCCACCTCCCCTCCTCCTCCCGGCCGGCTGCGCCCCCTAGCCAGCCCGCGAAGCCCTTATGAAGACTGGACGAAAGCGCCGAGGTTCTCAGGCCCCGCCCGCACGCGCGCCGGCACCCTCCCTCCTCCGCCGGGCGTCTGCGGCTGCTGTCGCCCGAGCGACACGAAGCCCAGGCCGCTGACCCCTTCGCTGAGCTTCCAGGCCACGTTTGAGGCGCAGTAAACTGGTAGGGACCTCACCTCCCCAGACAAGTGGCCCCTCCGAAGAGGATGTGGCTAGGGAGCTAGACTTCGAAAAGGGAACAGAAGCACTTCAACATTAAGGGCCACTCACCTCTCCCTGCCCTTCCGCCGCCCCACCTCAAGTGTTGGCCTGGGACCGGGTAGGGATAGGCAGGGAGTTGAACTTACTCCCTAAACAAGCCATGTGCACGGCTTGTATTATCTCATTTAATCCTCACAGTGGGGGGAGAGTAGGTCCCCCTTAGAGGTGAGTAAACGGCCGCCCTGAGAGTGGCTAAGTGTCACGTTGAGCGAGAACAGAGGCGGGATTTGAACGTGCCCCCAGAGCTCCAAATCAGCCTGCGGCTACCCATGATGCCCTCACCTTACACCAGGCCGGTCCAGGGGCTTCCTCTCCCGCGCCATCCGCCTAAAGGGATCCCTCGCTCGACATCCGGGGTCTGGGGTTCCACGAATACAGGCTGGCACATGGTGCATTGAGAAACACTTGACCTCCCAGGAGTCCTTTATAGTCGCCAGTGAAATGAACTAAAGGTGGAGAGAACCTAAAGGCAGTAGGTGTCTAGAGCCGGGTGGGAGTGAGACTCTATAGAAGGAGTAGAAGAGGAGAACCAAAGATGAGTCAAGTCCAGGCTGTGGTATAAAGGCCGGAGGAAACACCTGAACATGTGGAATCCCAATGCCGGGCAGCCAGGACCAAATCCATATCCCCCTAACGTTGGGTACCCTGAAGGTTCCAATCCTTCCCATCCACCACCTGTAAATCCTGCCTATCCTCCAGGCCCCTTTCCAACTCCCCCAGGAGTTCCCCAAGGGAATCCAGCTTTCCCCCCAGGTGGGCCCCCTCATCCTGTGCCACAACCAGGGTATCCAGGATGCCAACCCCTAGGTCCCTACCCACCTCTCTACCCACCACCTGCTCCTGGCACGCCTCTTGTGAATCCCGTGGCACCCGGCATGGTAGGACCGGGAATGGTGATGGACAAGAAGATGCGGAAGAAGATGAAGAAAGCTCTTAAAAAGATGCATAAACACCACAAGCATGGCAAGCATTCCTCCTCCTCCTCCTCCTCCTCCTCCTCCTCCTCCTCCTCCTCCTC